GGCCGTGGCCATCTCCTGTCCTGTGCAAACTGACTGACTGACTGACTGACCTGACCTGAAGTGAACTGAATTGCTGTTGTGACCTTGAGCAGTTGACTGATTTTTTGATCCCATGCGCTCCGCTTGTTTTTTAGTGTTCTTTGCGAGTGTTGTGATTGATCTAGCTAATTTGAGTGGAGGTAAGTAACTTATCGTATTTATGAACTTTAGCTACAAATTGAAATAACTTTATTTTTTGCTTATCCAATCAACTTCCTCAAATATATTCGGACAACCAATAGAAATAGTTATTATTATTGACAGCCTTAGCTTCTTTTAATAAGAAAATACAAGTGCCAGCTTAGAGATATATACATATTCGGCCACCGCCACCCAACTTTCGTGGGATGCGGGTTGGCATTTATCCGGTTCACTGCTACCCATATGCCATTGCGGCATTATAATGCCATCATATTCGGTGACTAATGGATTCCCTCTGTTTGCAGTTCATCAAACAGTAGCATGAATTCAAAGATATTTGTATCATTTGACAGGTGTATTAACAAGATATGCGTACTATTAGGTCTTATCTTACTTCAATAACTGAAGTGCGTACAATTTTTTATTGTTCTCATAGATTCACCTGAACGATCTGTTTTAATACCTTAGTTGTTGCTCTCACATTTGGGTGACCTATGAGGAACACTAACTGCCGGAGTACTCTTCTAGTCGCCCATTGATGTGCATCTCATCAAAAATCAACATTGCCCTACTTACACCTCTCCTTGAGATCATTTGACTTCATTAGTACAAGAAAATGGATAACCTGACGTCTACCACCAACTTCTTGCCCACCGAACCTTGTTATTTATACGACATCAGTTTCAATCGAGATTCCTTACAAGCTCTTGTCTTTTAAATGTGGTAAATTTACAGTAATAATCGTCGTGAATATGTAGTGTGAAATGCAGAAATCGTTGTTTACCTTAACTGCGCCATCTGTTTTCAGATGAAAATGCTAACATCAGTCTGCATAGCTGCTCTAGAGACATGGAGTTGTATCGCTGTCGTTCCTCGGATTTCGCTAAAGAAGGGAAAAACCTCAGTGTAAATGATAGTCTGGCTCTTACTATCCACTGTCTACGCTCACACTTGAAGAAATTAGAGCTGGCATGTCGTGATACTTTGCTTCATATAGTCGAACAACAGTCTAAGGATTACCACTTGGACCCCATACTTTACAAAGCATGCCGTGAAGATCAACAGCGCCTTTGCCCTAATGTGCAGTCGGGTGGAGGCAGAGTCTACGAGTGTTTGAGAACACACAAGTATCATGACCAAATGTCAGTAGAATGCCGTAAGGAAATTTTCGAAAGGTGAGCCTAACCAATTTTCATTTGATACTTTCACATGTTCGTACTTTTTGTAACATTGTTGCATTCGTTTAAAAACTAGCATCTCGCTTACTGTTTATAAACTTGATTCCCGCACACTTCCAAAACATCAATTAATTATTCAACCACATTCTGGTAAGCTGTGTATCATCGCCTGCGATCAAAATCGGGGCGGTCAAAACCCAGTTGCTATTACATCCTTCCCAAAAAGTTTCCTCCCCCCTCCCCTCTGAATGCAACAACCACATACAGTAATGAAGTAAAATCACGATAGGTTATTTCTATTGCTTCAAATTTAGCAGAAAAGCACGAGCAAAAATGAGATAATTCCCCCCCCCCCCGAAAAAGTGTCATGCTACTCTGAGTCTCGATGCAGACAAAGCACATCTGCATTGTGTGAAGCTGCCGTTTTGTTTCAAAAACTCAGCCCTTCGGACACGTATTATTTTTTGTTTACATTTAATATTTTTCTAAGCCCAGATCGTATTTTTTAAATCACGGTAAACAAAGTCTTATAAAGAAATCAGTTCATAGTATGCTATAAGATGGACCAGTGAAAGGTTGCCCAGGACAAAGCAGATAAATTTTCTCAAGGGCATTCACGGTGGGATTCTTCGGTTAACCAAAGCCTCACCCGCAAGGCAGCGTGGCGGAGTGTAAGAACCACAACCCATTGAGGGCCGCTGTTCAGTTCATGTAGTCACGCCCATCAGAGTCCTCAATAATGGTTGCTCGCATCTGGTTCTTCTAGTGTGAATTTTGTTTCATGTGCAGTGAATGCATTCCATTTATTCGACCATCTAGCGAGAGTTCCAGCCCACAGATGGGCTTCTATTAATAGTGTGTTGAACGCTATTTTTTCAGTTTGCTTGCCCCTCCGATTGATTTGGAAAGCTTTCATTTCTGAGATAAACTTCATGTAATTGGAGGCCACACGTACAAGCCTGTGTCTATTTTCCAAGAATAGTCCATTCACTTCGTCTTTTCCTCTTGGTTCTAAAGCAATCAGATCTAGCCCATGAAGGTACAAGGTTAATGGTTGTAAAAATATGACCCATAAAACTAGCTGCTTTGATCCCTCAGTGCATTGCAACAAAGCAGGACTTTATTGTATTGTTTGATGACATGCTTCGATTCACCCTTAATATCGCAAATTTTTTCAACGAACCGTGGTTGCAATTTATACTTTTTAACTTTACACTAACTTTCTGTCACAGTCAGCTATAAAACCAGTATGTATAGATGTGGATGCAGAGGGTCTGTTTCAACAATGGTCAAAATGATTCAAAGGCTCTGCAGCAGAATGATCGCTCTACGTCCTACTTAATTCATTTGTGATAATACATACAACAGTCAGGCAAAAAGCCTAAATATGGAATCTCTACTTTTAAGCTTTTAATATAAAAAGGAAGCAATCCAAATACCAATGAAGAAAAACGGTGGATTCTGGCGCACAATCAATACACAAACGGTTGCCTTGCTGGACGCGCAGAGCCATTCCTTCTGATGTCAAACATGACAGACACAAGTCCATTAACCGCCAGTTGAGCAAGAGTCTAAGGAACGACTGCGAGAAGTATTGGATAGAGAAATATAAAGAGATGGATAAGGCCGTGGCTGTTGATGATAGTCGCAATCTTTTTCGTTTAATTACAAGTATGGGTTCAAGAAAAATAGACGTAAGTGAGGTAATTGCGCAGTCTGATGGCACACTGATTCATATTCAGCAACACCGTCTTGAACGATGGGCAGCACATTTTAAGTCTCAGTTCATCTGATCCCCATCGACACAAGATCCCCGAATAACTGCTTCAACTGGGCAAATACTACCAGCTAATATTAGTCCTCCATCTGAAATGGTGGCCTCCAAGGAAATAAGTTATCTCCAAAAGTGTAAGATTTCCGGCCCAGCTGGGCTGTCTCCATCAGTTCCTAAGAATGAAGGTCTGTCTCTGGTTTTGGAGTTGACGAAACTCTTGGGCTCAGTGTTGTAGAACGAAGATGTTTCGAAGGAATGTTATGAACCTGTCATCTTACCGATTTTTAAGAAGGGTGTCAAAGCCTCGTCTGAAAAGCACAGGAAGTAATTTCATCAAAATCTTCTCTTAACCTCTCACTGATATTATACTCCATCAATTGTCTGTACCGTGATTTGTTTGGAGCGCAGTCTGAACTCAAACGTGTGTAAAAATATCTACTACACATAAACAATACACGCGTGAGAATCAGGCTTTTTAGACCTGGCCGAGGTTGTATCGATCACGTTTTCTAACACAGACTTTCCCTTCATAGACTCATCATTTCCATCTTGTTCGATTTGAAAGCGGGTTCCGACTCAGTCGACTGCTGTATACTCTGGCACTGCCTCTCTTTGAAGGGTGTGCCCGAGAGGTTAATTTCAATTTTGCCATCTCTCAATATTACTAGTCGAGTTCATCTTCGTCCGAATTCACCACAAGAAATGTTCGTTAGCTTTGCCTTTTACCTCCATTTCTGTTTTACTTTGTTATGGATTCCATTACGGAAACAACCCTGTCCTCGTGCACGGATAGCTGCATCGATTTGCTCACAGGTGGTAAATCTGATCTGGAGTATGCAGACGATATTGTACCGCTAAATGAAAATCCTAGCAAGTTGCTTGTGTTTATGAATAGTTTGAGTGCTAATGTAGCCGTGTTCGGCATGCTTTTCGCACCTTCAAAGTGCTACAAAATTGGGTTAACCCAATCCCCATCTACACTCTAAGTGGAGAATTAATAGAGGTTGTGAACAAATTTTGCCATCTGTGCAGCTACATTCCACCCGGCGGACGCATCACGGATAAAGTATCGACAAGCATACAAAAGGCTCGGGTGGCATTTGCCTATTTGAGACATTTGTAATGCTTTCACGACATCCGGCTATATGTGAAGGATCGAGGGTTTTCTGCAGCAGTTCGACTAATTCTGCTCTACGGCGCAGAAACTTAGCCATTAAGGAAACAGGATAAAGGTAGACTGTCTGTGTTCAAACATCGCTTTCCACACAGCATTGCACAAATCTGGTGGGATAACCGGACAAGCAATACTGAGGTTAAACGCAGAGATTTTGGTAATCCCAGTCATCCCCTGAAGCAAGCAGTCGACCTGCATAGACTGCGTTGTTTGGGGCATTTGCTGCACATACCATCAAATAGATTGCCACGGTGCGTGCCATTTGCTGAGGCAGGTGTTGGGTGGAAACAAGTGAAAAGGTGGTCAAACCTAGCATGAGGGTACGAAAACCCTGACCAGGAGACTTGTTCACATAGGTCGCCTTAGGCTTCCTGTATGGGGACCCCGGGGATCAGCGTAACCAGTGGTTAGAAGCGCTGAGTGATATGACTGAGTGTCGCAAACAGTGGCGCTCGTGCATCTACTCATTGCCCTTGTAACCATGTGAATTCTCCATCTTCTCTCTGAATCTGCTCTCAATATTCTGTTCTTCGTTCTGTTGTTTTATCCAAACGGTCAGTCATGAGACAGCAAACAAAACCGGTGCATTAAAGTGTATGGCTAACAGTTGTAAAAACTGAAGCTGTACTGCTGTATTCATGCCGCAAATAGTTGTTTTGACACTCAAAATTGGAGATGCGGTGAAAATCTAGGGTGAAGACGCGGGGCTTGTCTCGCATTATGTATAAAGGTCGTGTTTTTCGTAATAAATCTCATGTTGCGGCTTTTACACCAATGAGTCGCTCAGATCAGAGTAAGAGCCTCACTTCAGAAACCCCGCCTTTTATTTTTGATAGAATAGCCTAACTCATAAGGCAGTGGTGTTGTTCCAAGTCCTTCAAATGCATGGACTTAGGTTGTTGCAACTAGCGCACGTAATTTTAGTCCACGGCTCCCAAATAACGCTTCAAAAGAATAACTAATTCGGTGACTAGTTTCAGACGTTTAATTGGACCTGCAGTTTAAAGCTTTTCGGGAGGGCGAGCGCACGTATACCTCACCGTGAATAGTATATATACATATAATAGTTGGCGCAAAATAATTTGGGTCCTTTAAACTGAAAAATACAACTTGAAAGGCAGAATGATGTCACAACACAGCCCTTCTCTTATAAGGTTGAGAAGAAAAACAACTTTAAGGAAGCCAAGTGTGAGTTGTGTATGCATGCAAAAAAGCGAGCATTCATTGAGGACGCAATGGGGGCCAAAAAATTCCCGGAAAGAGGAGAGCTGTGTTTGTAGACATGTTCAAAGCAACGAATAAGGTGTCAATCACACTTTTCAATAGGGTTATTTGTAACGGTGGGGAATCACCCGTCAAGAAAAGCGTGTTCATGGTCCGCTGAGTGTTGCTGGGGAACAATGGGTGGGCGCAATATGCTGCATGTGTGAAACTGGCTCTCACCAAAGGAAAGATGTTTGAAATCTGCCGTAGGCTAAACAAAGAAGACAAACAAATGTTGCTTACGTGAGGTCCTTGAGATGATGGAGATTATTGGTTTGTTGATGTACGTTCGCTGTAGCAGGTAGTGTACAAAAGTTGCTATCTGACTCAACATGCTGCTCGTAGTTCTTCTCGGATCGGCAAGGACGAGGTGTCTTCTGCTTGGTGTACATAGTAGTCCATGCAGTCTTCCGTGATGGTCGAAAAATTGGCCCGGGTTGAACCAATGAAAGGCCCGATCTGCTCAAGCCTTCATATGTCTACGACAATGGTGTAAAAACAATCCCTCCACCAACATCCCTACAGGCGATCTCAGGTTTTCCGTTTTTGTGGGTTGTGGTAGTGTTACGGTAGCTGTTTTGTATGCCTGAAACGCTGTTAATTGAAGGGTGAGGATGGGGACATAGCAGCGTATGGCGTAACCAGAAGAGCAAAAAATGTCCATTTTTATTTTCGCATATTTACTTTGTTTTTGATATTTCGCTAGGTCTTGATATTTTTTTGAACTTTTACGATTAAACCGATATTATGGCACACACTTTACGCGAAATAAAACGTGATGAAGACCGTAACCTCAAAGTTAGCAGTATAAATAAACTGATCTACGGACTTTGCTTGAATAGTTTACAGAGTGGTTTAGCAGAAGCGTGTGAAGTTAAAGGGCAATATGGCAGTGCAAGGTTAACTGATGTAGTGCAATAAACTACGAATGCAAGTTTTAGTCGACCTTAACCGTTAACCGAGATGACCACTTATTCATCCCTAAGCGCGAGTACTGTGTGCATTTCCGTGTGCGGCGTTTGTCTTGTCGAGCGAGTGCTGTCAACGCAAAAGAAAACATTCTCACTCCACGAAAGTTCCTTTGGTATATAAATGGCAATTGTTTCTTGCCTAGTTTTGATCACACGAACTTCAGGCATGTGATGGGCAGGGCTCTGTGCGAAGTTAGCATGGCTAAGACAACACGGAGGTTTTGGGCGAGATAAATTTCTCTGAAAGATAGTGTTCAGACAAAAGTTGAGGCCGCTGGTGTAGTTAATTCTGTTCCGAATGCCCAAAGGATAGACGGGAAAGCGTCATGCCAATCAGAACTGTAGTAAGCTTTAGGAACAGTCTAAAGCTGCTTATGGAGGCAGTCTACAAGTTATCCGCTGTATAATGGGCCGTCATTGACTTCGCTCAACATTCCCCCCGATCCCACCAACTAGCCTTACAAACATACAACAATTGCGCAATTATTGTACAGAAGGCTGAGCGCACAAAGCAGCACAACTATAATTAACTCCTGGAAGCTGGACGTTATGGTCACTTGCTGAGGCAGTATCTCGCAATTTCTGTTTCACTGTCACCAGTGATTTATCACTTGTTCTCCGCTCCCGGATTCACGTTCATACTTGTCTGATTTGCATACAAGAATCTTGGCTGAACCCTCATGTTGCTGATGCGTTAGTGTCCATTGACGGATTTAACCTGTACCGGCAGGACAGGGAATCATGTAGCAAGAAATCCGGTGGTGGTGTGGTTACCTACGTCAACACTTCGTGGTGTGGCAAGTCAGATGCCGTTTACTCATACTCAAGTAACGGTATTGATTGTTTGTCTCTTCAGTGTTACCCTAAATTCTCCCGACATAGAAGTACCTTCATAACGAACCTATATATTGCTCCGTTTTGTACGCACACTCCCATCTCGTCATTCTTCGA